ACTACACTGGATGGCCAGGAAGCGTCCACGATGTCTTCTTGGGCGCTTCTCCGGCGCTGATAATAGGCGTCTGTCTTGTGTCAGTGATGTAAAAGACGGATTTAATGTGACATGACCGTTCAAACAGCAGTCGCTTTCTAAAACATCAGATATATATCGGATTCAGTACCACATACGAAAGTGACTCAGGTCAGGTTTGAAAATATCGGATTTGTGCTGTTCACACTGTCATACCATGATGGGAAATGGGTCGCATAGGGTAAAAAAAAAAAGGTTGGATTTGATGCGCTTTTGCCTGCAGTGTGAACGTAGCCTAAATAGTGATGTCGTTTAGGCTTGACAAAAGTAGGGCTATGTTGTAAAAGTGAATGCTTAACAAAAAAAAAGAACACAATTGCATTTTTAAATTTTATTTTTTGTAAGAGAACTGTTAAGATTTGTTCATGATACATCTCCCTAGAAGAAAATGCCTTCTGCATTCTCTGTCCCTCTGTAGATTATGCAGTATGTAATCCTGTTGCACTTGTGCCAAGCAGTTTGTTTTCATTCAGCCCGTGCAGTCTTTAATATCAGCGGAAAGAACAAAAAGCAGGCAGGCTTTCTGTATTTCCTGGTGCTTCTGTAATTCTTGGTTTTACACTTCATGAGTCTGACTAGTTTTTGGCTTCAGAACTTTTGTCTTCTGCCAGAGGCCACATGTTTTTAAACAGTGTGTATTTATCTGCAGGCTGCTGATTTAGTGACATCCACACAATTGTATCTCTTGAAGCTAAAGGGGTTAGGGCCTTTCCTGTCAGCAGTTCATTTGATATCACTCACCCTACGCGCCACCATTGCCATACCCTCGTCAGCATTTCCTACTGAATTAGATTGTGTTTGTGGGATCGGGTGCTTTCTTAAGGAGTTGGTATAAGAGTAATCCTTTCTAGTTGTTTATCATTGCTCGGATGGGCGTGAAGTGAATGCAATAACAGTAGTCCTTGTTGTGGTTCTTAGCTTCAATGAACAAGCAACCTGTTGCTGGTGCTAGCTATAACCTACAAGAATTACCACCAGCAGCTACAGTTCATGAGGGTGGATGAGAGACTCTGGAGAGTAATATTAAGGACTGCCACAACAGTAAGCCAGGTTGCAGCCACTGAACACTCAAAATAATGGCGAGGAGACTGCCAGCAGACAAATGTATACTTGGGTGTTGATATACCTGGATGGCCAAATCAAGTCTGTGCGTGGGGAAACACTGCAAGTGTATTTATCCGCGCTCTCACAAGCAGCAGGAGAGTCACATGACCCTGCTGTCTAATACAGCACCCAACCCCCCAACCCCTAAACTTCCTTCCACCTGAATGATCATGTTAGTGTTTATCTCCTAAATGCTGTGTGGCCTACATAGTGTGTGTGTTGCATTTACCTTGCAGCTAAAACCAATTTCCCCCCTTTGGTCAGAATGAAATGAGTCAGTCACAATCATTTTTCATCACAGGGCTCACATGAGTCATTTCATCACTAAGACAGCACTGAGTTTCAGCACCACAGTGGAGCATGTTTTCCTTTCCCTTCTTGATCTAAATATTTTAGCGTGTTCTTCAGGCCCTGACTGTTTCCAGCACATTTGGGTGTCTCAGGACGACTTTCAGCTTAGTAACTCACAATTTCTCCTCTTCTGACAGCCATTGAGGGGTGTCGTGGTCCTAAAACAGGCAATAGACAAAATGCAGATGAACACAAACCAACTTACCTCAGTTCACGCAGACCTGTGTCAGGTAAGTTCTTAGCATCATCCCAGTTGTAATCCCAGCACATCTCCTTTTCCATATGCAGTCTAAGCCACTTGTTCACCTCTTATATGTTCTTCTGCAGCTGTGTTTGTTAGCAAAGTGCTTCAAGCCAGCCCTGCCCTTTTTGGAGGTGGACATGATGGACATCTGCAAGGAGAACGGAGCCTACGACGCAAAGCACTTTTTATGTTACTACTACTATGGTGGCATGATCTACACGGGCCTCAAAAATTTTGAAAGAGCACTGTATTTTTATGAACAGGTACTGTCTTTACAGTCTTTTTGTTGCCTCCTGAATTTAAACGTTCTTTGCGGCATCACTGCACATGCTTTTGTTTTTAATTTTCTGTGACAGGCAATAACCACTCCAGCCATGGCAGTGAGCCACATCATGTTGGAAGCCTATAAAAAATACATCCTGGTGTCACTTATTCTCCACGGCAAAGTGCAGCAGTTGCCCAAATACACTTCACAAATAGTAGGGAGGTTCATCAAGGTAAGGATGCATGACGTGTGGGTGATATTTTTTTCTTTTTAGAGGTGTAGCCAAGAAGTGTCATTTTCTAAAATCACCAAAAAGTAGTGATAATAATAGTGTATTGATGCTCAGTAATGTATAGATTAACATTTAGGTTCATGCATGAAGAATCAGTGATACAGATCGACAGACTGGCTGTTAAAATGTTGTTTTTTTGCCTGCTAGGCTGAGTCTCAGTGGGAGGGTGAGCCATTCATTCTGTTAGCTAGAATGTGGAAAAGTTATTAAGCTGAATTTGATGAAACGTTATAGAAAAGTGGAGCTCGGGCAAAGGAAGAACTCACCAACATTTGTCTTTAAAGTTAAGATAAGAGCATCAGCATTGGTGTAGGCATCAGGGGTAGGATGTGAATGCACTTCAATTATTGGTTTACACTAATTGGAAAGTAAACACCTCTGAGCACCTAAAAGACTCAAAGATGAATCGTTACTTGGACAGAGTCAAAAGCACTGATTTCAATCAGATTTGATAAAAATACATCACACACGAGGTGAACACAAAGGCTCACCTGTCATTTTGCCTTTTATGTATCAGACAGCTGCTCACACAGAAAGTTTTTTGTTTTTCCCTTCTTCTCCCACACTGTGCAGCGCTGCTTTGTAGCCTCACGGCTCACTCACTTAACTGAACGCAGCAGAACAGAGAGTCTGTAAAAGCAAGCAGATCAAGATGTCAGTGTCACGCAGTAGCAATTTTCTTTATTTTCTTTATTTTTTTGTAAATCAAAAATTCACTGTGGGCTTTGAAAAGCAGCAAAATCTGCTCACAAAGTTTCTAAGTTTCAACAACAACTAATATTTGGAACAGTTGAATATTTATGTGCAGCTGTAGTGTGAGCCCATCAGGAAAAGCCACTTATTTATTTTGCTGCTACTGAGCTATCCGTCCATAATTGCGTTTGCTTTTTTCCTTTTTTTTCTTTTTTGTGCCTCAGCCCTTGAGCAACGCATACCACGAGTTGGCTCAGGTTTACACCACCAACAACCCGGCCGAGCTGCGCAGCCTGGTCAACAAACACAGCGAGACCTTCACACGAGACAACAACACAGGCCTGGTCAAACAGTGCCTCTCCTCTCTCTACAAGAAGAATATCCAGAGGCTAACAAAGGTGAGCTGTGTGTGTGTGTTTTCTATGTGATGTGTGATATTAACACACTCCCGATGCCTTCAAGAGATAAGCTTCACTGGGTAGCTTGTGCGACTTTACTTTAGGAAATATTCTGTTGTAAGAAGAGAGACGTCAAGAACGTAGAAATGTCTCTGTCGTCTCAAATCATCTGTGGCGCAGTTCATTAGAGGTCACGATAATCAAAATGAAAGGAAACACAGCCAAAACATGGGTGTGCCAAGACAGATGCTGACATCTGATAACTGGCTGTTGGCCCATCTTTGCTAAAACGACTAACAACAATGACTCTTGAGCTTTCAGTTTCCACCTGTTGGGTCATCTTGTTCACATTACCAAGAAGACTGAAGTTAGAGGGGCTGTGTGACCCATAAAACTTGAGTTTCACACTCCATACAGCCTATAGGTTAAATCCAGGCCCAGTGCTGTCTGGATATCACTTTAGGTTATCTTTTAGGTTCATGTTGCACATGCCAGCTCAAACAGACAGGCACAAATCCAAAGCACCAGCTAGCCAGACAATCCAGAGTACTGAGAGCTTCTTTACTGAGGTTAAAGAGACGTTCGTTCAGTTGTCAAGGGATTTATTTGAAACAAACTGGAGTTTAGATGGCGGGTTTTTGCCCATTCACTAGATCTGATATCGGTTTTTCCTCTGTGCGAACCCCACAGACCTTCCTGACACTGTCTTTGCAAGACATGGCGAGTCGAGTGCAGCTTTCAGGCCCGCAGGAAGCAGAGAAATACGTCTTACACATGGTGAGTTCTCCAGAGAGACCAAAGCACAAAAAATACAATCCAGTTGATGCTGATAGAAATCACGATATCCAACTTTACGTGTTTGTGAAATGGTTTGATATTTTTTTTAGCTATAGATGTATTACACAAGTCTTTTATCTGTTGTGTTGGACCGTTTTGGACTTGAAGGCCTTAACGACCATATAACAATAGTCTTTACACTGGATTTTCTGCATTCCCTCTTGTTTTCTTCTTTGCAGATTGAAGATGGTGAGATCTATGCTAGCATTAACCAAAAAGATGGTATGGTCTGCTTCCATGACAACCCTGAAAAATACAACAACCCAGCAATGCTCCACAAAATTGACCAAGAGGTGTGGAGGCTCAGATCTGTGTTCACTGTTCTTGTGCTTTGCATGGATTGTTTGCAGTTGCAATACACAAATCCTGCATGAATTTTTGAAAATGAGCACGTGTCTTTTTTTTCCTCTCTTTTCAGATGTTGAAATGTATACAGCTGGATGAGAAACTAAAGTCTATGGATCAGGAAATCACAGTAAACCCACAATTTGTGCAGAAGGTGAGGGGGGGCTCCAGCAGCACTGGAGTTGCTTTTTCTTATTTTGGCTTATGTGTGTATTTTTGGTAGAATGAGCCAGACTAAAGATGTTCTCCTGTCGGCGTGTATGTTGTCCAAAAAGTTCAAATTTTAAACTTTTTATTGAAGCAGAGGATAAGATGCTTAGAGGTTTAGAAACAGTGTGATCACTGTTTGTTGCACATGTGGCATGCCTGAGCAGATTGTGTTGCCAAGTCACATGGTGTCTTCAGTCACTGTTTCATGAAATCCATTGCTGGGCGTTTGATAAACACTGACTCTGTAATTCTCCCTTTTCAGTGTAACTGACATGCCGCTTGTTATGCAATATGCGATCATAAGGTTTCGCATTTCCATCCATAAAAACCAAAAACTATACCTGATTCAAATTATAGATCTCTCCCTTCAAGAACATTTCCAACTGTGCAAGTCAGAAAACAGTCCTAGCCTGGTTCTTCTTTTTCCCTTTTTAAAGATTGCCCCCTGGACGTCCTGTTTTGACCGCTTGCCCTTGTGTGTCTACATTTACACTATGGTGCTAAAACTTGCACAAATTTGCACATTGGCTTCCGTTTCAAACTAACCCAACCTTCCTTATGGAGGGTGGCGAGCCTTTGGCTGTAGACAAAAACCAAGACGCTGTTTTGGATGAAGAATCTGATCCAAGCTTATCAGGTCGGGAATGTGACCACAAGAATGCTTTCACTTTTAGTTTTTTGGGCCGTTTGTGGGGTCGTTCACCCTAAACTCAGGTGTAGGAGGCTTTCCCAGCTATAACAGCGTGAGAATTATTTTTCTTAACCAAATATTTATTAGTCCTTTATTTATCCAGGTAAAAAATCTCATTGAAATTAAAAATCTCATTTTCAAGAGAGACTTGGCATCATGGCAACAAAAGTCAAAATATACATACCACATAAGTATATAACATTTAGCAGCAGCGTACAAAGAACAATAATGTGCACGATTTCCATAGCCAGTAATAAAACGTAAAGCACAATGGTACACAGTATCCAACCTCTTTAGGTAGTGGGCAGGTGCATTCATAAAAAGCAGGTCACCATAATCCAATAAAGGTAAAAAAGTTGCATGAATCAAGTGTTTTCTCACTTGGAGGGAGAAACAGGATTGATTTCTAAAAAAGTAACCTAGTTTTAGTTTTAACTTTGACACAAGCCTTTGAATGTGAGTTTTAAATGACAAATTCTGATCTATAATGATCCCTAGATACTTGTAAGATGTGACCATTTCAATTTCAGTTCCTTGAATTGTTTTAATCTTAGGAGACGTAGCTAACAACTCTTTGCCATTTGAGAATAACATGAACTTGGATTTCTCTGGATTTAACACCAACTTAAGTTGAGTTAAATGGGACTGAACTACATCAAAGGCAGACTGCAGAAATTGCAGGGTTTGTGCTACTGAAGGGGGTGAACAATAAATAATTGTATCATCTGCATAAAGATGAAATGCTGCATTTGACAAATTATCACAAAGGTTGTTTATGTAAAGAGAAAATAGCAATGGCCCTAATATGGAGCCCTGCGGAACTCCTTTGGATACTGGGAGAAAAGAGGAAGAAGACCCAGCAGCATGGACACACTGTTTTCTTGCTGACAAGTAATTTGAAAACCAACTTACAGCATTTACAGATAGACTAAACAATATTGGTCTATTTAATAAAATATAGCATGGTCAACTGTATCAAAAGCCTTTGACAAGTCAAGAAAAGGAGCAGCACAGTATTTTTTGCAGTCCATTGAATCAACAATGTCATTAACCACTTTAATAGCAGCAGTCAGGCTCACTTTCTATCAAATTGTGAACCATTGTGCTAATAAAACACAAATTAATTTGTCAAATCTGGCTAAAGTTAATAGCAACCTGCCTTCCTTGCAGGCCTGCGTGGTTTTATATCAGTTTAATCTTACATATGACATACAAACGCTTATTTTCTACAGAAGCTAAATGGTTTGCACAGCTGTCTTCTTGCTTATAGTTCACCTCGTTTGTTTACACCTTTCCATCATTGAGAGGCGCTGCCTGGGCTAGTCGTACATTGTGACTCATTTTGTAATTTTGGCTGTAAATTTACTAAATAATTCTCAGCTTTCAAGAACTATTTGAATTTTCTCTCTGGTCCACAATGGTTGAGAACCAACAATAATGTGAAGTGCACATGGTAACATCTGCCTGTTCAGACAGTAGTACCTGGTGAATACTTTTATGCTGCCACAATACACCAGATATTGCTGTAAAGCTCGTCTTCCCTTCCTTCCAAAACAGTATTCAATTTTGTCTCAAGAACAAACGGTGATGGAGCTATCGACATTTAAAGTTAAGTGGCTTGGATTTTCAGTGCCAACAAACAAGGACAGCAACTTTTAAACGACCAGTCAAGTAGCTGCACACTTCCTAATTGTATATATCAGACCTTCCCAAAGTGTGGGGCCCGCCCCCTAGGGGAGGCGCGTTATGAAAAGGGGGAGAAAAAACCAAAACGCTTGGACATGGCTAGCACAGGGCCGCCACAGAAACACAAAGCAGGGAATGAAGCATAGTTGAATATGTTTCCAAACCAACTTCATTCTAAGCCGAACATTTTTCTGGTAAAACAAAGGGGGCCCAGCAAAAAATGTTTGGGAACCACTGGTATATATCAACACAAACTGGGGAAAAAGTCTAAGGAGTTAGTTCCCAGAATGGCAATACGCCCTACCATCAAGTAATATTGGGCATTGAGACCTGAACAAAACAATCACTCATTGTTGGTGGAAGTGCAGCAGAAACTGGTTTGCAGCAGTGGCTCCGCCTGATGTGTTCAGATAACAGTTTTGATGTTTTGTGTTGTTTTTGTTTTTTGTTTCCCCTTCAGAGTATGGGATCGCAGGAGGATGATGTCGGTAGCAAAACGTCTAGTTATTCCTGAGGGGCCTTGGATGGGGAGAGAACGCTGCAGCCACCCAACACGTTCTTCCCAGGATGAGTTGGATTTTTTTAAAAGAGGAAAAACAAACATTCTATCTCACATAAGGACATTGGTCAAGGAAAATCTAATTGTGTGGAATGATGATAAATTTGGTTATTCTTACTTCACAGTGTCTTAAGGATAACGTGAGATCCTTACAGAAAAAGGAGGAAAAAAAGAAAAAAAATTACAATTTTGTCAGTGTTTTATTTATCAATGTTCAGGTTGAAGCGCCACTGCTACATTAACAGAAATCACAATAATAAAAACTGGACTTATTTGTTCCAAACGTATGTGAAAAATCTCACTGTTTGTTTTGGTTCTGCTGCATGATGGCCGTGACTTTGAGGGCATTACGTACAAGGTCAAACATCTAAAATTGATGAAGAATGAATCTGATAAAATTCTGCATTTGTAAAGACTGCAAGCGATCGTTTCCCTCTCACTCCTGCCGGTTAGAATGTAGATATCATCAATAGTGAATCTGTACACATGGACATGCCCTTGACCAAAACTCGGCACAATGGAGGAGTCGTTCACAATCTGGTGCACTGTTTTGTTTTTCTTTTGTTTTGTTTTTCTTTTGTTTAGGGTTTTTGTTGTTGTTTTGGTTTTTTTTAGGTCGGATCCACTAGAGGTCGCTAGAGCACTGTACAGAAAACCGATTTGACAGCTTGTTATTACAAGAGGTGAAGTCAACAGATGAAACCAAACTGTCATGTAATTTTGGGAGCTTGAGCTTGGCGATTGTGGATCTGTTAATAATAAATTGTTTAAGAATATAGTTCTGGGTTTCATGCCTTTATGGAAAGATTCTCTTCGACACGGGCCCTCGTCTTTACGGTGTGTTTCAATTCTCATCCATTCATGGACTGTCACTTTTTTTTTTTTCTTTCTTTCTTTTTTGTAATTGTTACGCTGAAGCTAATTTTCGCTTCAGCCAATGAACGTACGTATGCAAGCGGATGTGGTTAGCTGGAGAATTCCACCAATCAAGACGAAGCGCCCTTCTTTTTAGAGGCAGGACTTTACCCTCTGAACGAAAGTTGGCACATGTCAATCACATGCAGCACTCGGTCGTGATTGGTCCGTCGCTATGAATGAGGTGGGTCTTAACGACACTCGCCGTGTAAGCTACTTGAAATTCCAATGCTAACCAACTTTAGCCAGCTTGCTAACGTGTAACTGAGCGACTGTGAAGAACTACATGTAAAGCGGTATAGCTGGATTTAAATACATAAATGATACACATCTCCAAAAGAGGTATATTGTAAAATTCGTCTTTATGCTTGCTACTGCGCGTGTCTCTGCTTCTGCAACCAGGACATGTCCAGTTAGCCAGAACGCAGCACTTGGTGGATAACGAACCCTGGCAGAGCTAGCCAGTCAGCCCGCTTGGACTGGGTCTGCTTTGAGGGATTTGAACAGGTTTCGTCGCTCAGTGGACAGTGAAGCCGGATGCTGTGACTACCATGAGTCCCGCAGGCTGCCCCCATGTCAACGGCTTCAAAGTGGACAACTGGAAGCAGAACCTGAGGGTCATTTATCAGTGTTTCGTGTGGAGTGGTTCAGCTGAGACCAGAAAACGCAAGGTAACGAGTGTTTAGTAGGGACCCTTAATGTACGACCGTGTATGCGTGTGTTTGTGTGCTGAGCTGCCGTCGTGTGCGTAGATAGTTCTCCGCCCTTCCACAACAACAGACGGTGAATGCCAAAGTACCGCTTTCCCCCTCAGCCAAATACTATCCAAGCTCAGAGACTTGTTCTAGTCTCAGTGTGGCGCTTAAATGCCACTCTGAGCACCTCACCACAGCTGCAGTGTCCTCAAACTGATGCAAACTACTAGCATGTCACCCAGTTAACCCCCTCGCCGCTGAACGTTAGCTTAGATCAAAGCTAGAGTCCGCGTGATGGATCAGCAAGCTGATGATGTGCATGTGTTTGCACTGGCACTGCGCCTGCTGTGGCTCCACTTCCTCCCACCAGCAGACCGCAGGCCAGTGTTACACGGTGGTGTTTCCTCGCTTATTGGGGCACTGATGGCTCTGAAATCAGCCAAGTACTTCATATCTCTTGTCCTCATAAACCTATGATAACAGATATGCAGCATGGCCATGTTTGTTCAGCATTACAGGATCAACGAGGTTTAACAGGTAAAGCAACAGAATGTGTGTCTTCAGTTACGCTGCAAGAGGAAATATTATTTTTCTTCTCCTTTGTTTATTTTTTTTAATAATCATTCCATTACTTAGACATATAGCATGTTGTGTTTGCATTATCTGTGTGTATACTGCACTGGTAAGGTCCAGGAGACATGTATACAGAAATAAATGGTGCGTATGCAGATGGTATATGTACTGTATGGTCTCTTCCTGTGCCCCTGGAGGGCCAAAATCCCTTCTTATCATGAAATATGTGGGACACCTCTCCAATCAGACACATGCTTCTTATGGGGAAACTGTTACACCAGGGTTCTGCTCCACCTGTCATGCACTTGTTTTCTTTTTATCCAGCTGGAGAAGTCTGTTGACAGTCATAGATTAAATTTTCCAGTCTAGTTTCAGGTCCAAGACAGTCTTTAATTTGACCCTGAACAATATTTCAACCGCAAAGTTTATCCATACATTATTGTTATTCAGCAAGCATTGGTGTATTTTGGCTTGCTACTCACACTCTGCACCTACACTGGGTTGCTGCAGGGATGCAACAAAGGGAAAGGACAAGTATTGTGATTCCAGGGCCATTCAAAACAACAATGGCAAACAAATTGCATACATTTTGACAGTCAAGCAGCAACACTTGAAAGTGTTACCTGTGAAAAATACAACTCCTTAATCACCCGCTTGCCACTCTGTCGTCCATTACCTCTGGCGTCAGCCTCAGCGCTGTGTACATCAGACAGTCCACTGACCTTCAGATGTAGATTGAATACCGAGTATTGGTTCACCTTTAGAATTCAAACACTCAGTTCTTTGACTCACTTCACTGACAATCACACAAGTGTTTTATCTCATCTGAATTGCGCCAACATTGAATTCTATCAGTCTACTGCAGAGTAAAAGCGCATTTTCTCACCGCAATCCTAATGTGATCTTTTTACATTGTAATAAAACATTTAACATTTTATTTTCTGTATATTAAACATAGCCAAAGTTTCAAACAATGAGGTCAGCATATCCTCTGGTAGATCTTGTGTGTCAGAGGCTTCAGGCAGGTTTTTTTTTCCCCTACACTTGTCTGTATGATGTCAGTAAGAGCAGATATTCCTAATATGGTCAGGCACACGGCTCTGGTTGTTAGCACAGAAGCTCCGCCCACCTACTCTTCAGCTCATCTGTTTATGAGGCGCAGCCAGTCAAATAACAGTGTGCTTGGGAGCGGGAGGATAGAGAACTAAAACGGATAATTTCAAACAGTGGAAGAACTCAGCAGCTCCACTTAGGCCCAGTAAGATTAAAAAAAAAAAAAAAGGATTATTTTGAACTGTGAAAAATGCAGACCCATTAGTACAGCACAGGATTGACAATAAGGACCAGGACATAGTCCTTTTTAACAGCCAGTATAGGCTGCTCAAGGGACCATAAAATAAGACCATGTTTTAAAATTGGTGAGTCACTACTAAACGTCAGAGCTTAGCAGATTTAGCAATATTTTCTGTCCTCCTAAGGCTGTCTTCTACTAGCTTGTGCCACTGCAACACAAAGTAGATTTAAAGTGAAAGAGGCCCTCTGAGTATGAAACCCGGAGCTGGTGGCAAAAATAAACAAGGTCAACAAAGTATTTGCCATTACGACAGTGACAGCTGTTGCTTTAAATTTAAGTTCAGCTTCATTTTTTTAGCCCTTTGTTTTGCTTTTTCTGTGTTGAACATTTACTCTTTCCACTAGTTTCAAGGGCACACACTCCAACAACAACCAAATCTTAGTATCAGACATATCAACAAATCAGATTTACCTGGGTGTTTTCAGTGGCACAGCTGATATTTATGCTGCAAGACTAAATGCTGCAAAATAGAGTGATGACTGTAAAACGGGTCCGTTATTTCTTAGTTTGCCTGGGACAAAGGAGGAAATAATTGATTAATCTTCATAAATAAATATCAGTCTGTTGTTTGGGATGGCAGGCTACCACAACTTTTCCCTAAATGAATGAGACAGGTGTCGCTGCATGGGCGCACAGTGTAATAATCTTCTCACTTTACACTTTTCTAACCAGCAACTTTACATCCCATTACCCTTTCCAGTTCTCCCCGCCTACTGGTAGCTCGTCTCTGACATCGCAGCATTTGGAGGAATATGACACAGTTGGAGCTTGGCTGTTCTTCGGGTGTTAGAAGAACCACAAGGCCTCTTAGTACACAGTGTTCTAAACCATAACTACTGTGCAGTGTATATGTGCTCAGGCTCTTACTGACAGTTTGGGATGTAGAGCAGAGAAGATGACACAAATCCTACATGAATACAGCGTCCTTGGGGGACTAGCTAAACAGACGTGCACACTGTAACAATGACAGCCAAAAGAATGAGTGACGAAAGATTGTTGCATATTGATGGGTATTTTCATAATTCATGTGCTGTCCGAGCAGTTTTGCAAGGAGGGGTGTGTGTGTGTGTGTGTGTGTGTGTGTGTGTGTATGAGTGAGTGAGTGAGTGAGTGAGTGAGTGACTGGAATAAGAATGTCTTTCTTCTTTTCCTCTTTTTTTTTGTATCTGTGTCCCACATTTACACTCACAAGAGAAGCATGTTTTTAAATCATGAACAGCAGAGGTGGTACTCAATGAGGAATAAGCCCAGATGAAAAGTTTTTAATCTAGAGGGTTTTAGGCTTTTATTTTGGTAATATGGATCTCAAAAAACACTGCATGAATCAAGCAAATGTGTGACATTTGTCAGAACCCTCATCCGTTTAGTAAGACAAGGTTGGTAACCTATGGTAACAACTATGAAGCTACTGCTTAGCTGTACAGTGTAAACTGAAATGGGTGGGAGGTAACTGTGTGACCTCTCTCTCCGTGTGATCACAGTGTGTACTCTGTGGTTTAAATAGATTTCATACACTTAGATTTCATACACTGTCTACAATATCTAATAAGTCAACTTCAAATGATGTAAAGTTCTGTACAAACGCTGCCAGTATTTTAAATTTAGTTGCACACTGGGACTGTTGTCAGTCTACACAACTATGTATATTGATCTGGATAGATGTGGATAGAAACGGCACAAAACTCCAAGGCTGCTACTTACTACTTCTTACTTTCTTCCCCATTCTGAAGCTTTGTTCAGCAACTTCAGAGAGACATCTTTAGGCATGTAGAAATGTTCAGAGCGCTGAGTTGCTATCAAGCAAATGGCTAATTAGGTAACGATAACAAGCATTTTAGTTGTGTCTAATAAAGAGGCTTGTGAATGTGTTTCACACATATTGTAACTTTGCTTAAATTGTTCAACTTTTTGATTCAATTCTGTTTTATTCATACAGTGCCAAATTACAGTTACCTGTATTGTAAGGTAAAGCCCCCACAATAATGGAGGGAAAACTCCCAACAATGAGACGACCGCATATCAGCAAGCGCTTGGCAACAGTGGGAAGGAAAAACTGGCTTTTAAACAGGATGAAAGCTCCAGCAGAACCAGGCTCAGGGAGGGGTAGCTGTCTGGTTGGAGGTGACAGGAGATAACGATGGTAAAATAAACTAGAATCGGGCAGCTAGCTTACCTACAGCACTATGAACTATATGATGCCAGATGCCATGAGAATCTCTGCCTTTAGAGATGTTAGTGTTT